TGCCGACGCCGCCATTAAGTAGCTGAGTGCGATTTGACGTCGCTCGGCACAGCACGAATTGTACTATTTGGTCCCTGACCGGTGACTTCCGTGGATCCAGGGGCGTGTCCAACTTCTTCATCTCCTCTGTCCTGAGTGGATGCCGACTACAGCTGTTTTTTCGTGTTGACCACTGTTTCTTGATGTTATGTGTGCAAGTATGGTGTCGACAACAAGAATTAAGAGTCATACATCGGCGCAGACCGCACACGAGTCATTCCAAAACTTAGCTGCGCGTCCTGTAACGAAAAGTAGCTGTAGTCGGCGTCCAATTGGACAGAGCAGGTGGAGTTGTTGGACACGCCCCTGGGTCCACGGAAATTAACCGGTTATGAAAGGGATAGGCTGACGTATGGCCGGGCACTCGGGATTGCTGCTGTCGAGTTAGCCCATGGCGAACTGCTACATTTCAATCTGCATACAGAGAGTGCTATTTCTCATGGCGAAAATTCCTCCTCCACAATTGACTGTTTCCATAGTGGTCAAGAATCTTCAAGGACTTTGTCAAACTCCGTTTGAGTGAGGATCCAGACATTGTAAGATTTCTTCTCAAGGGTCATTTATTCAGTCACTATGTTGAGTTATATGCAGAACTCTGGACCACGAGCACGAGTTGAACCCGCATATCACGTCTTGCGACGCTGCGTACTAACCACTGTACTGCCGGGCTCCTGTTCTGCAGTCACTTCGCGGAATCTTTATTGTCGTTCTTGATCTCACTAAATATTTTTGGGATGTTTTTTATTACTAAACTGCCCGTATCTCGAAACATCTCACTTTTTCTTCTACAGAATTGTCAAAGAGATCGAGCCCGATCCCCAACTTCTTTTCACAAGATTTTCTTGCTAACTATTCTAACTGTTTTTTTACTTCAAGTGTTTTTTTAAGACCACGCTCAAATTTCAGTATATCTCATGATTCTCATTTGAGCCAACATGTCTGTTAATGGGTTCCTGTACAGCCTGATACACGTGCTTCGGCCTTGAAGCCTCGTCCGTTGGGCAAGCCCTTCATCCTTAGCAATCTTCTCGGGGTCCCCTACATCCTTTATAAAGAGGTAGGCGACGACGAACGATTTGAACAATCGCCGTCAAGTAAAAAAATACAAGATCGGCACTTTTCGACACTCGATTGCTTTTGGCTGCTGGTTTTTGTAATATATTGTAGTTGTATCTTTGTTTTCGAGTGTTTTCTAAGACCACAGCTCAAATTTCAATATGCCTGGTAATCATTATTTGAGCCACGCATGTCAGTGGTCTGTCAATGAGGGCTGACTTATAGAGCCCGATACACGTGTGTTTCGATTCTTGCGATCTCGTCAGTCTATAAGTCAGCCCTCACTGACAGACCACTGACATGCGTGCTCAAATAATGATTACCAGGCATATTGTAGTTGATTTTTCACTTGACGGCGATTGTGTAAACCGTTCGTCGTCGCCTACTTCTATTATAAAGTGATGTAGGGGCCTCAAGAAGATTGATCAAACATGAAGGGCCTGCCCGACTGACGAGGCTGCAAGGTTGAAACCACCTGTGTCGGGCGAGTCCATCAACAGACCACATGATGAGATATATTGACTGCTTGTAGTACGAAGTCGAGGCGATGGTATAGTGGAAGGGACAATTTTCGTGGCTCAAATCCATCAAAATTTCGCGATTGTATTCGCGAAATATTTTTTAGACTTTTGCGGTTTTTAATTCAATATTAATGAGATTCACTTTGAGTGAAATTTTTTTACTAAAGTTGACGTGTCGCGTCGATATCTTCTCGATATAGATTAATTCACGCTCTATCATAACATCAAGTTCTAAGCGTTCCATTAATCCTTATTTTGAAGACCCCTTTACGTCATTCAGTGGTTTTTTGTAAACTTTCTTTATTGCACTTTTAAACCACAAGTAGCTGCTTTTTGATTAGGAGGGGACAAATGAAAAAACCGATCTCATTTGGATAAAGAGGAACTTTTCATAGGAATGTTGAGAAACAATTTCAAAGCTGAGAGATGACGCTACAGTCGTACGTTGCCGATTTTTGAAAAAGACTTTTTTTTGACGTTGCTACAGGAAGAGATTTCTTGGCTTCAGACCGCATATTTCTCGCCAGACAGAGCTCTTTTTCTGCGCGATTAGTAATCATTTGGATAACATGATTGACTTTGATTCCAATGCTGTGCTTATATCCTGAAAGGACCGTTTTCTCTGAAACGCAGTGGGTTGAAAAAGTTGACACTCACATCCGCGATCAGTCGCTGCATTGGCCAAACCCACGTGCGGCTGGCTGAGATAGCCAGGTTCGATGAAGCGTTTGCCATCGATTTCGCGGGCACATGAACGCGTCAAGAAGTATTACGTCAGCGATTCACGTGGACGCCTCACTCACATGCACGTGAATTGGCCGCATGCGTCACATTGGTCGCAGATGGGAATTTAACTTACTCTGCCTACTGCGTTTTCATAGAAACGGTCTTTTCAGTATATAAGCACAGCGTTGCAATCAAATTCGATTACGCTGTCGAGTGATCACCAATAGTCCAAAGTAAAAGCTCTATCCGGCGAACGATATGCGTGCGTGAGACATAGTTTTGTGTGGAGATCACAGTGTTTTAAAATGGAGTTCTGAAAAACCGACGATGTGGGGCTGTAGCCTCAAGTCTCACCTTTCGAATGGTTACTGAAAACTTCTACGAAAATTCCTCTTCAGCTACTGAGGTCGCTTTTTTCATTTGCCCTTCTAATCAGAAGGAACCTCACAGCATTACTTGAACTTATCCGACAAGATATATTGAAATATCATGCGTACATCTCGAGTGCTTTCTTAGAACCACGCTAAAATTTCAAATATGCTAGATAAATATGAGCCATTCATGTGAATATCTTTTACCTCGATGGCACGTGTAAATAGCATGTCTGCACTCTCCCTATTAAGGGATCGAGGTCCACCGAGAGGATTTGTTCAAACGGAGGTACTGACCAACTGATGAGGCTACCAAGGCCGAAACAGGTGTATTGAGCCCTATAAGTTGCCCATGAAACCACATAAATGACTCAAAAAGTAATTGTCCAGAAATATTGAAAAATAAACCCATTTTCAGCGCCTATTAGCAAGCAGTCTATGGAAACATCCTTTTATTAAAAAGGCACAAAAAAAGAACAGCATTTTCGTCGAACTGATGCGGAGAGAACAAAGGAGTATCGGTAAGCTCGATGTTGCTGTATTCTCATCCTCAATGTAGCTTGAGTGTCAGAAATCGTATTAGATCTATTAAATCCGAGCGCAGTGTTAAAGAAAGCTCTGCAAGACCTCACGTGGTCATTTGAGCGATGGTCGATGGTTCAATCCCGCAATAAAGACTCACTAAACATTCCAGCATACCGGAGTAGATGAATTAGTGCGAGACTTTCCTGCGAAAATATCACCACTGATTTGATACATTGGAAGGCTACCGCCAACTGGTTTTGAAGGCCTGATAGTCATTCACTATTTTCAAAAAATACTTAATGTAGATTAATGCATTTCGCATCCTTTAAGGACTCATCAACGTTGAGAGCTGCATCTTATTTTCATCTTTTTCAATCTAGTTTTGATCGTATGCTGTAATAACTCTTGCAACACACGAACCGATATGTCTTCGGGCATTGATCTGGAGGAAGATTCTGACAGTAGCGGTGGTACGAATAGATGGGATTATCCAAAGGTTCGTGGTGGTCCGACTACACGAGCGCGTTTGATACGCTCAAATAGACGAAGGCCAGTCACACAACGTAATCGACCGTCTCGATCTGTGAATCTTACGAAGGTTACCGGATTCTATAATTGGCAGAGGTACGATCGTGGTGACGTACGAGATAGCCGCTGTCAGAATGAAAAGTGCTCTTTCCCTCAGTCAAATGTGAAATTCTGGTAGTAATCGGGCGGCTGCGTGGAACCGCGTTAGCTCCAGTGACGGGAATAAGCGGTAGTATCGATAGTATCGGTCGATTGTCTGCTTCATATGCACCAGTAACGATAACTCTTGCAAGTCCGTCTGGTAGTAACAGTATGTCCTGTTGTGTGTTTGTTGAAAACATCAGCGAAGCTGAGTCATATATTGTAGATTTCCTAGAAGTTTTAGCAATATCCGCAACAACACACGCAATCTCCATCTTCGTCATCCCATCCCCAGGCCAAGATTCGATGGTCCCAGATCGAATGGACGGAGTCGGCATATGCCTTCATTTCAGCCTATGAGGAATGGTGGTCCGGATCGAATGAACGGAGTTGACATGTGCTTTCTTTTCTGCCTATAAAGAACGGTGGCCCGGTCCGGGTGGACGGAGTCGGCATATGCCTTGTTTCCAATCTATGGAGAACGGTGGACGTGAGTATGGCGGAAAGTGGTGGCAAGTCTGATTGACGTCAATTATGTTGCTATGACAATCTGCCAGATAATCATCTGTTATAAATTAGGGCTGACTTATAAAGCCCGATACCACGTGTTTCGACCTTGACAGTCTTATCAGTCGGGCGGCACGCTTTTCGTCTTTTGTCAATCCTCTCTCAGTCCCCTATACTAAGAGTAGGAGACGACGAACATTTTACAATGTCTGGCCAGTGAAATTATTACTGAAAAGACAGTGTTGTACACTCGATTGCTCTTGGCTGGTATCGTTAATATATCCATACCTTCATTTCGAATGTTTAAGCCAGCCCTATATATAACAGACCACATGCGTGGCTCAAAAAGTGATTATCTGGCATACTGAAATTTCAGCACGGTCTTAAGAAAACACTAAACAAGAATTATGGCAATCAATTTAACATTGGTGACTCTATTCTCTGATGTTTATGAGAAACTGCCATGACACATGAGGTACCACTTACCTTTTCTTTGAATCGGAAATATATTAGAGTTTCATTATTAGAAAATTATGGATGCTTTTTTTCCTGTTTCTAAGATTGTTTGAGTGGTATACAAAGCATTTGACCTAGGCGGGAGTTAAACCCGCGTTTAACCCATACAGAGGGCGCGTGCTGCCAACGCACCACCGAGGCCACCACTTTTGCTGCCACTCTTTCTTCGATATAACGATCGTAGCTATAAGCTACAAACCTTCAGACGAGTTAGATTTATCATGCTCATATTGGCATCGAGAATATTAATAAAGAGTGATAGCAGAGCTGTGACCTTTGTTGTGTATGGCCCATGGTATGAATAATATTCAGATTTAACTCCTCCCTGGAGTCGAATGTGTTTTTGAATACTATTCAACAGTCCCAGATGTTAGAATTAGTGCGTCATACCGTTGTTAGAAAGCAGTACAATAAAGGACTTGCGAAGTTTTTGTTTAGGTTTTGGGTGAATGATATTTTTATTAGTTGTGACTTTAGCTCAGCCACACAACCATTTTTTTGGTGCTCGCCTTACTGGTTACATCGACTTGTATCGTCCTATGCTTGTTTTCAATAACTTGTTTCATTTCAGATATTTCATATATCGTCTTCAAGGTAGCATAAAATGAACCATTTTATTATATAAGTAAACAACTTCTTCAGGAATGAACATAGGGGGTATCCATGATTCAAACAATTAATCTATTGCAATTTCAGAAAAATCGTCAGAAAAGTCAAGGGAACGCTGCAAAGATCAGAAGACAGAACAACATACTCCAAATTGTACTGAGCTCGCTTTTTGATTGAATCCGCTTGGTCTTAGTTGTTCCTCATTACGAACGTGTCCTCGTGTATACGTCATGAGCTAATGAAAGAGATTCTTATGAGGATGTCGCATCCACCAGTACACCACAGCGAATGAGGCTGTGCGACATTAAGGCTGGAAGCGCCGTGGCCGAGTGGATTTACTGCTCGTATCGCCGCGCGAGGCCGAACTCCCCCCGTCCCCTACTCAACGCTCTCCGGCAGTGAAACAACAAAAGCCCTATGGAGGCCCACAGCCAGGGCCTTCCACGAGATTGCGAGGAGACGCGCTCAATGAGTAGGCTACGTACGACGTTTCATAGAGAAGACGAAATAAAAAAAAAACAAATTAAAATGTTAAACTTTCTAGGATCCGCACAGTGAAAGAATCCTGAAAAGGCGGATCAATAAAGTGTCAATGAAATGTGTCTAACATATAACTATCGGAGTGAACGGCTTCATAGATCCGATAGCTGTTGCTCAATACTTCCCAAACATGTATACTCAGTGTTGCTTTTTCAAATGCAACATTTAAGATTTAGGGCTAGACGTAAGCTGATTTCCATTTACAAAAAACGTAAATAGCTGCACTTATCAGTTTTGAAGAGGTAGATCTCACCTCAAAGTGAACGTAATTCATTAAAATGGAAGCCACTGGTTCCTATAGATCCTCCCCAACAACATATGTAATTTTCAATCTAGTAAGATAATCCTGGTTCTATGACAGACCAGGATTTAGGCTTTTTCGACTTGTTATCGTTGAGATCCATATTTCGTGATTGGAAGAGAAGAATTTCAAAATCAAGTTATACTATTCAAGGACTAGACCTTGCTGCTAAATAAATAGAGCGCATCTCATAATTATTATTTGCATCAACATGTCATGTGGTCTGTTAAATTGGCTGACTTATAGAGCCCGATACACGTGTTTTCGACCTTGACGGTTTCATTAGTCTGGCAGTACCCTTCGTCTTTGTCAATCCTCTTGGGTTGCTCCATTCTCCACTAAGAGTAGGCGACGGCAAACGACTTACACTGCATGTCAAGTGAAATTACCACTGAACACACAGTGAGATATGTTGAATTCCGAGCGTGGTCTTGATAAAAACACTCAAAAAGGTATAATATTATTCAAAATACCAAACAAAGAGTAACCGAGTGTACAACACTGTGTGCTCAGTGATAATTTCACTTGAGATACAGTGTAAAATGTTCGTCGTCGCCTGCTCTTAGTATAGGGGACTACCCCCTAGAGGATTGGCTGAAGACGAAGGGTACTGCCCGACTGATGAGACCGTCAAGGTCGCAACATGCGTATTGGGCTCTATAGTCAGCCCGTTTTACAGACCACATCACATGTGGCTCAATAATATTTATGAAATATGTTGAAATTTGAGCGCGGTCTTGATACACTCGAAATAAAAATAGATCTTAGCATGTTTTATGATTCGTCATGTTTTTTTACCCCTGAAGTATGAGGTTTGTCCAAAAATCATCAGCAGTTTTGTAAAAACCAACGTCAACCATGAGTGCTAACCCTTCTCGCAAAATGCTATCGCTTTTTATACGTACGTCAGAGCACACACGGCCATAGTACGTATAAACTTCAGTCCGTATATGCCTTTCAGTGGTTTATTCGTTGCACAAAACTTTTTGTAGTTTCTACGGTCAGTCGATAGTCTGTAGAACAAATTGCTATTCTAGGGCGTTGGTCGGGATAAATTTCTCTTTTGTCATTTAAAAGTACACAAAAACTCTGCTTTTCTGTTAAGGCAACAAATGAATATTCGACCCCAACTGCTGTAAAAGAACTTTCCATACGAGTGTAGTAATCATTGAGAGCTTAAATCTCTGGCTAGCACAGTATGTGGCAGTTTTCAAAAAAGGTTTCCGCCTCGTTGTGCTTCCTTTGTGGAAAGACCTTTTCTCCTGTAGTGTGTAGGGTAAATAAGATTGAATTCACATACACGTGCATGGGTATTTTGGCTATTTTACGGGTTGAAGGGCTGGGCCACGGCAGATGCTACAGGTTTCGACACGCCCTTCGATCGATTGGCCCTTCCGCGGGCTATAGGGTAGTGCGATTTTGTTATTCAATTAGGAATTGTTTATCTGCTTCAAAGAAACCTTGCATTAAACTTCTGACTCCGACAATAAAAGTTTTCCTCTACACGTTCATGTGCTTTTCGTGCTTCCATGAGTAACAGCTGAATTGTGGGAGCCGATATAAAATATGATTTTACTTTGAATTTGACAGCGTTAAAAGGGTCCTTTCAAAAACGATCACTGTACCGCGTTAGCCAGAGATCCAAGTTTTCAAATGTTTCCCAACACTCTTATGAAAAAATCTTGTCGAGCGAATGGGTCGAATATTCATTTGTCACCATCTAACAGAAAAAAACCCGAAAAACTCCTATGAGCAAGTTGACAGATTGAATTTTGGGTGGTATTCGACTGTCACTCTAATAAATGAATATTTTCTTATGTTTAGCCGTTCCGAGGTGTTATTGATATGTTTACTGAATATTAGCGAAGCATACATCATTACAGTCAGTAATGCAGCTTGAATATACAATATTGAGGTGGCTAACGTTTCGGCGGGTCGCCTTCTTCAGAGCCTGGAAAGATCATATTGATCCACAATCTACTAAGCCAAAACCTCCATAACTCTAGCAGAAAACGTTAGAAATGAATTTTGGATCGCATAGTAGAAGCTTCATTTTAAAACACTCACCGTTTTGATGTTTTGGGTCTATCAATTATTCACTGGAGACCAGCCGCTTAAGGTCAGTGCATCGTGGGCTGTGCCTAACTGGGGCCAGTAAGATCAGCCTGAGGTATGGTTTCGAGGTCACGCGTAACTACGAAGGCACTCCTCTTTTCGGTTCATTTTGGGCCTTTGCTATGTATCCAAAAGGCTTCTAAGATTTTACGCGCAGATGTTTTTGGTTCCTGTGCGAGGATCGCGAATTTGACGCCAAACATTACTCCTGCATGTTTTTGGTCCCTATGCGTGCCTAGTGGGAGTTTTTGGATCAGAGTTGCGTAACCCTACTAGATGCTCTTTTACACGAAGGAATATTGGTCTACCCGTTTCGCCAATGTACTCATCGCCGCATGCCTCGCAAGAGATTAGGTAAATTGTACCCGATCTCATGACAGTCGCCGTCTCTGCCGTTTGGGCAAACTTTGCAGTCATTGGTTTCGCAGAGACGGTCATACAGTCGCTTGCGGACTAATTGACGCTTTAGAGTCTTTGGGGGTATTTCAACTATTGCTACCGAATCATCCAAACCTGCTCTTTTTAGGCAGCGTTTAATAGCTGTGCTTACTTCGTTAGAGATAAAAGGCAGGAGGAAGGGAACCTTATTTTCGCCAGACTTGTCGTTTGGAAGCGTAGAATTTCCTCTAAATCTAACCTGAGAAGCTCCTACCGTATCGTAGCCATTGAGATGGCTATTTTTCGAGCCAAGCTTGAAGATTCTACCTCGTGTTCTTTTCCTGTGCACACATTTGTCGCTGTGCGGAACATGTTCTTCAGAAGCCCTCGTTTTATGTGTGAAGGATGAGCTGATAGGTAATGAACCAGGATGTTTTTGTTGCTTGGTTTTCGGTACCATTTTGTAATGTAAGAGCTTCGGACAGGTTGACCTGAACGTTCAAAAACGGAGCCAATTTGCTTTCGGTTTCTCCGAGTGAACTTTATGTACTCTGACTGACTGTTCAGCAACTCAAAACATTTGTCCATCTCCTCTTGGGTTGAGCAGACGACAAACAGTCATCTATATACCTACAGTAGAGTAACGGCCGGAGATCGATTATTGGGCTCTCCACTTTGAACATAAAGGCTAATGTAAGGGTTGGCGCTAGTCGTTGTCCCATTGCCAGCCTCTTATTGGGCAAAATAGCTCCCGGGCCATCTGAAGATTCAACAGTTTAAGCACTCTTTGAGAGCGCCATAACCTGCCGGATGGAGAAGCCATTACATGTTCGTGGTCCTTTCGTGCTCCGTTAGAAGCTCGTGATATGGCTTGCACTGCGGATTCATTCGACACGTTTGTATAAAGAGCGGTTACGTCGAAGATTCCATTACGTACGAGTTGTTGGGGAACGCGCTACGTAAGTGGTCTAGGAACATTTGGGTGTTGGTGAGATGGGCTGGAATGTGTTTTAGTAATTGGACTAGTATTAGGTTTAAGAACCACGTTATCCTATCCGTTGGCCCGCCTACGTAGCTGATGATGGGTCTAACTTTGAAGTTAGATAGATTAGTAGACAAAAGATCATTCAGTGCATACCAACTTGTGAGTTTAATAAGCAAGTATAAGACAGGACATGATGGTGGACTAAGTTTGAGTT